AGATGGAAGTCCATCTGCAAGAAAACTTTTCATCCTTTGGAATCCTGCTTTGCGACCAAAAACTGTGAGTTAAAGTTCTGTTGTTTTATTTAAGCGGTGGTAGTACTAGCTGAAGACATATTTTAACAGAACAAATGCTGCTGCTACTTGACTGCAGATATTCAATAAAACTCGGTTTTCTATGAATAATGATGAGTTGGCAGATGAAAGTACAAATTTTGTTCGTTCAAGGTGATAACCCCCCTATGTATAACAATATGAAATTTTGCAACTATGTATTTGATGCAAGCAGGCTTATTTTGGACTGCTTTTTTTGATCAATGAAAACACAGTTCCAGCCCATGTTAAGTAAGCTTAAGCTTCTTTGGTTTTCCAGCACCAACAACTAGAGGCCCCTTGTTCTTTTTGTTCGATTGAAATCCATAAAAAAACTTTAGAGACTCAATGGGAGAATTACATGTTTTGGTTGGTCTTTCTAACCACTTGACCAAGATAGCTGAAGACATTACAAGATAGAGGAAGAGGGCTAATTGTCAGTTGGTTGGTTCCTCTCCCACGGAAGTCCTTTGACCCAAAACTATTGGTTCACTTTTATTCTTATAAAACATGTTATAGAAGACTCAAGTGCTTCCTAGATGATGTTTAATGTCTGAATTATGTCATATACAATGTGGTGATTGGCGACATTTTAATTGATGTACCATGACCTAGCATAGTTGACCATTGAAGAAGTTAATCATGACCGGTCACAATCTTTCAAAAAATGCTAAAGAAGCTTGATAACAACTCTATGATGCTCGTTCTTCATGGTCTCACAATAATGGACTTCATTCCTTGTCTAACATTGACATGGATAGAGTTGAAAGAAACGAGAGAAGAATAATTCTCAATTTTATTAATTTGTGCATGGATTTCTCTCTTAAATAGAGGTAGAAATATAATACTAAATTAATTACAGTGATCCTAAATTGATTACTTCTAACAGTAAAATAAAGAATAACTATATAAGGAACTGATATATATGCAACACAAGAATATTCAAGAAATTCTAACAGATAGTTTTTCTCCCCTTCTTGTTGTTTTATTTTTCATGTTATTGGAATAAGTCTCTCTTGGATTTGTTAGTGATGAGATTTATGTGTATCTTATAATGTCCTTCAGATGAATGTAGTGCTTATCATCAAATCAACTTAAGAAACTGTGTAAAATTGAAAATTTGATACTGAGTAAGTTTAAGTTAATGTACACTTTTGATAGGACCCTGAGTCCGAGCCTTAGTCCAATAAGAGTTAGTTACGATATTCCCTGAATTTTAAGAAATGTCTGTTATAAGAGAGAGAGAGGGAGGGGGAGTTGAGAGATATTCAGAAATATTGTTAGAAAGTTAGGAGGTTACTCTCTGGTTTAGGAGTTCATAGAACTCTGGTTTATGCATTGTATTTTCTGTTTTCCACCATAGTAAGAGCTCGAGGCTCACCATTTCCAGGCAATAAAATTCATTTCATCACTTCAAAGTTCCGGCTTCTATCATATTTCCTCAGTTTGTTGTATTCTTACATATCTGAGGTTTTAATGCATTGTGCCCCGTTCCTTATGCAGCCCAATCGTGGATGTTGCACGCCTTCTTGCTGAAATGGTTCAGCATGGTCTTCGCTGCATTGCATTTTGTAAATCACGGAAGCTTTGTGAGCTTGTTTTATCCTATGCGTATGTAAAATCAATTCCATCTACTTGTGTAGTTTGATAGAGTTGATGCTGGGATAAAATTGTTTGTTTTTCCTAAATTCTGTTTGTTATATTTGATATCCATTTTGGAGTTCAAGTTAATGGCTTTTTAGTAATTAAGAAGGAAGGTTCTCTTGCAACTGAAATGAAATGACTTAAAATGACAGACGTGAGATTCTTCATGAGACAGCCCCGCATCTTCTGGATTCCATATGTGCATATCGTGGTGGCTACATTGCAGAGGTCAATTTTACCCCACTCTTCTTTTTTTCTGGTCACAGAAGTCTGCATTTTATGTATTTGTGCAATAGCATGCTTCTGTGTGCGCATACAATCTGTCTGCATGCCATGTTCATGTAACAGATACTTGAAATGGCAGAGGTAAAATATTATTATCCTAGGAACAGGTGTCTAATATGCTCTGATTTTATCACTAATGAAGTCCTTATGTTGTTGGTTTTTCGGTCTTCGGTCGTCACCTTCTTTTTTTTATCATTGGAACTAGTTTTAGGATTCCATTTCATGAAGAACAAACTCAATTCGATTCTCCACTGATTAAGGTATGTATGGGGCTCAATACTGGCTTCTTCACATTGACAGGAAAGAAGAAAAATAGAGAGTGCTTTATTTGGTGGTAAAATTTGCGGTGTTGCTGCAACCAATGCTCTTGAGTTGGGCATTGATGTTGGAGAGATTGACGTCACTCTGCATCTAGGATTTTCCTGGTAGTATTGCAAGGTATTTTCCCTTATTCTTTTATATTCGTGTCTTTTTAATAGCTTCTTGTATGCGAGGTTGTCTGATTTCCTTTTATTTTCCAATGAATATTTTGTATTTTAGTTTGTGGCAACAAGCTGGTAGGGGTGGGAGGAGAGATAGACCATCTCTTGCTATATATGTTGCATTTGGTGGACCTCTTGATCAATACTTCATGAAAAATCCTAGAAAACTTTTGAAAGACCAATCGAATGCTGTCATATTGATACTCAAAACAAGCGGGTTAGTTTTAAACAATAGTATTTTTAAGATTATTTATAGTGTTTTTAACAAACGGAACAGTTTGTGCTAATTACAACAGACTCTCTCCAGGTTCTTGAACAGCATTTGGTCTGTGCAGCTCATGAACACCCTCTGAGTGTGCAGTATGATGAGCAGTATTTTGGTGCTTGCTTAGAGAGTGTTTTGAATTCTCTAAAAGATAGAGGATACTTATGTCCTGATCTGTCTGATTCTTCTAGAATTTGGAACTACATTGGTCCTGAGGTACATAAAGTTCATCAACATGTTAGGTTTAATGTCTTTTTGGTGTAGTTTACTTATCTATTATTGAGCTCTTCAAAATATTTGAATATTGTAGGATGACAATTTTTTCTTGTTTTTCACGGAACCTTGTTCCCCCGCAGAAATTACCTTCGCAAGCAGTCAATATCCGAGCAATAGAAACTGTTAGATACAGTGTCATAGATCAGAAAAAGAATGAAGTCCTAGAAGAGATAGAGGAAAGCAAGGCTTTCTTTCAGGTATTGACTTCTACTTATATGAACAAAGGACTCCACTACATTTCTAGATTTGTTGTGTATTTATGCTGTACTTAATTCAGGTATACGAAGGTGCAGTGTACTTGCACCAGGGGAGAACCTATTTGGTTGAAAAATTAGATCTATCTACCAAAACTGCTTTCTGTAAAGAGGCTGATCTGAAGTATTATACAAAGACTCGAGATTACACCGATATCCATGTCATTGGGGGTAATATTGTATGTGATCTTCAGTTTTGTAGGGATTCTTTGCATTATCTTTTTAACCTATTTCTCTCGAAAATAGTGACAACCAATTTTAATTTGAATGGTTCTTTGATGAAATAGGGAATTAAAGAATGTATGAAGTGTTGTTTGATTTTCAAAACATAACTTTATTTGTTGCATACCTCCAAATTTCAATCAATTCTTAAAGTTTTGTTGTGCAAATAATCTCACAAGTAATAATGCTAGCAACATACTCTGACAAATTTTAACAGACACTTCATTATCAATTGAAATTCTTGTGGATCCTCTAACAAATTTCTACTCTTTAAGTTTTTTCTCTCCAAATAATCTCATAAAATGCTAGTAACACTAATAAATGAACAGGAATTTAGTCTTTGGATCTTATTCTCGATATAATGCTAGCATTCATGCACGGCATATTCTAATTAGGAAAAATATACTGAAATAGTATGTCACCAGAATTGCTAAAAAGTATAATCGAGAAAAATCTAGCCAATTAAGGCTATGTCATTTAAATGGAATCTAGAAAATTTTCAGGTATGTTATCCTTAAATTCACTGAAAAGTCTCTATCCACTGAATTTAAAACTTACCCTTTCACCTTATTATCTGATGGATAATGCTAGTGACGTTAAGGCGTTTGAGAACTTTTGTCCGTCCTATTCGCAGGCTTATCCAGTAATTGATTCCATCATGTTTCCAAAAACAAATGTGCGTGCTAATGTATGCCAAGTGACAACTACGTGGTTTGGATTTTATCGTATTCGGAAAGGAAGCAATCAAATCATTGATGCTGTTGATCTAGCACTTCCTCAGTACTCATATGAGTCACAGGTATATGGCAGCTTTCTTTTTATTATCTGTATATGACATGTATTTGTTTTAACTTCAGTGCGTTCTTTCTCTGTTAAAAGGCAGTCTGGGTGCCTGTGCCACAATCAATAAAAGAAGCAGTGGTCAAGCAAAATTATGATTTCCGTGGAGGTTTGCATGCCGCTTCTCATGCTGTTTTACACGTGGTGCCTTTGTAAGTTTCATATAAATGTTAATCATAAATATTTGGCATCAGTAACAAGATATAGAGAACCTTATTCCTTCCACCGTGTTCTGTAGACATATAATGTGCAACTTGTCTGATTTGGCTCCTGAGTGTCCGAATCCTCATGACAGCCGATATTATCCTGAAAGAATCTTGATATATGATCAACATCCTGGAGGGTCTGGAATATCAGTACAGGTAGATAACATGAGAAGTCTGGCAATCAAATAATATTTTTTTTCTTCTCTTTATTTTTCATTAATACCTTATACCTATTTAATGTTGTTGAATAACACTAAATGTTGGGAGTTAGAGTCAACAAGAAAATAAACTCAATGTCATAGAAATAGGAATATTACAATGATGAGTAAACCATTGTACAAAGTGATTGTGAAATAGAGGAGACTCTTGCCTGTTTTATTTTATGTGATGAAAATGTACCACTCAGGCTTAAGAAATAGTTTTATCGTGCAACTGTAAGACGAATGATTTTCTGACGTAGTATAGAATTGGAAAATGCCTACACAAGTTTGGTGTAGCACATGAATGTTGCATTAAATGTTTTGAAGTACTAGACATGATAGGATAAATGATTCATCTTTAGAGTTTAAATTTAATATGTGAAAATGTATTACGACATCAATTGATTCATATAGCAAACTTAATAGAAAACGATAAACTGAAGAAGAAAGGAAGAGAGAGAAAGTTTGTTGTAACTGAATTTGTTATTTCACAATTGTTGGTACATCTCTACTAGTGCAGAGTATTTATATAACTCCTGATGCAGTCTAAACTTATCAGTTTAGCTGCCTTTCTAATATTCTAAACTAGTGTTACTCTATTATCTCCCCTTCAAGATCAAGGTCCTCATTGTAGCAGGGAGGGTTTGTCATAAACCTGAAGTTTGGAACTGAGCTGTAGAAACCTTGAGGAGAAAGAGGCTTAGTGAGCAGATCAGCGTATTGGTCAAAGGCAGGAACATGCTGAACTATAAGGGATTTGCTCAACACTTTTTCCCTAAGGAAAAAGATATCTAGCTCCGTAAGTTTTGTCTTAGCATGTAAGATAGGGTTATGAGATAATGCTACAATGTTGAGGTTGTCACAAAACAAGACAGGGTTATGAGATAGTGCTACAGTGCTGAGGTTGTCACATAACAAGACAAGAGTAGTGAAAGGAATCTTGAGATCAGTAAGTAAGGATTGAATCCACAGGATTTCAGAGGCTGAGTTAACAAGAGCTCTATATTCAGCCTCAGTGCTTGATCTTGCCACCAAGGTCTGTTTCTTGGACCACCAAGAAATCAAATTTGACCCAAGGAATATACAGGAACTAGATGTGGATCTCCTGTCGTCAAGATTAGACCCCCAATCTACATCTGAAAACCCTTTAATGGAGACAGGAGCCTGAGTAGAAGTAGGTTGAAGCAAAAGACCATGGTGCAGGGTGCCTTTCAAGTACCCGAGAATCCTTTTTACAGCTGCCCAGTGACTGTACAGAGGATTGGAGAGAAACTGACAAGCTTTGTTGACAGCAAAACTAATTTCAGGTCTTGTAACTGTAGCATATTGTAGACCCCCAACAATAGACCTGTAGAAAGTAGATTCCTTAAGCACATTTGTCCCATGTTTGGATAATTTTAAGCTTGTAATCATAGGAGTAGGTAATCCTTTTGAGTCTGCCATGTTTGCCTTTGATAGAACATCCTTGATGTATTTTGTTTGAAAGAGGAATAATGAGCCATCTCTGTGATGTGTTACTTCTATGCCCAAAAAATATTCAAGTTTGCCCAGTTCCTTGAGAGCAAACTGAGAGTTCAGTTTTTGAATTAGTTGCTGAATATGACTTTAGGAGTTTCCAGTGACAATAATGTCATCTACATAAACAAGTATGTAGATGGTATATGTGGGATTAATGAGAGTGAAAAGAGAGGGATCACACCTACTTGATACAAAGCCAAATTCCCGAAGAGCAAGATGCAGTCTGTCAAACCAGGCCCTGGGTGCTTGTTTAAGCCCATAGAGAGCTTTATTAAGCCTGCAGACCTTGTTAGGTGTAGTAGTCTCAATGCCAGGGGGCTGCTCCATGTACACTTCCTCTTGGAGAATGCCATTTAAAAAGGCATAATTAACATCCAGTTGAGTAAGAGACCAGCCTTTTGAGATGGCAATTGTTAACACAAGCCTAACTGTGACAGGTTTAACCACTGGAGCAAATGTCTCAGTGAAGTCAAACCCAAGTTGCTGGTGGAACCCCTTAGCCACTAAACGAGCCTTGTATTTGTTGACAATGCCATCAGGATTCTGCTTGATCCTGAACACCCATTTGCACCCAATAGCCTGCCTGTTTGGTGGCAAATCTGTGAGATCCCAGGTATGATTTTTGATTAGTGCAGTGTATTCCTCTTGCATAGCTGCCACCCATTTAGAATCCTTAAGTGCAACCTTATAAGAAGAAGGTTCCAATTCTGTCAGTAATAAAGTGGGATGCAGTCTTGGCTGAACTATGCCACCCTTACTCCTGGTGGTCATGATATGGGTATTTTGAGGATGGATGAAAGCAGGTTTAGGCGTAGACGTGTTAGTGGAAGAGGAACCAGGTGAGTCCTGGGGCACAGAAGAAGTGGAGGGCTGTAATGCAGGACTGGAATGATCTATGTCAGGAGTGACACTAGGGCTAGAAGGAGAAGGAACTGGTGGTGAAGCAGCATTTTCTGAAGTAGAGGATATGGGTATAGAAGTGAGTGGAACAGGTTTTGAGAGAGGTTGATGCATAAGATCAGTGGGAAAGATAAATGAAGTAGTGTTGGAAGGGGAAGTAGATGAAGGAACTGTATGAGAAGGAAACGTAGAGGAGTATGAAAACCTTGCCTCATTGAAAACCATATCTTTGGAGATATAAATTCTACCATTTGAAGCCAAACACTTGTAGCCCTTGTGATTAGAGGAATACCCCAGGAAAATACACTCTTGGGAGTGAAAATTGAATTTATGAGCTAAATAGGGCCTGAGGTGTGGAAAACAGGCACACCCAAAGGCTTTAAGGGATTTGTAGTCAGGAACAACATTGTAAAGCATGAGATAAGGAGATCTCATGCCTAGCAAGGGGGTAGGCATTCTGTTGATCAAATAGGCAGCAATAAGACAGGCATGATCCCAAAACTTGAGGGGTAAATTTGCCTGAGCAAGCAAACTTAACCCTGTTTCAACTACATACATGTGCTGCCTCTCCACTAAGCCATTTTGATGGGGTGTGTGAGGACAGGCAAGCCTATGAGAAATGCCTTTGGAGTGGAAGAAAAAGGTGAGTGGTTTGAACTCTCCTCCTCCATCAGTTTGAACAACCTTAAGGTGAGTGGAGAATTGGACCTCAATGGCCGTGATGAAGTGTGTGAGAGTGAGCAGCACATCAGATTTCAACTTTATAGGAAACACCCAAGTGTATCTAGAATAAGCATCAACACAAATAAGCAAATATTTATAACCACCCAAGTGTATCTAGAATAAGCATCAACACAAATAAGCAAATATTTATAACCACAACTTGAATCCATAGGAGCAGGGCCCATACATCAGCAAATAACAAATTAAAAGTCTTAGTGTAATTTGTGTGTGAGAGTGTGCTAGGTAGTCTGTGTATCTTTTCCAGGCAGCAGGGGGTGCAAAAGTCCAGTGGAGATTTGTGGGGAACAGGAGTGTTGCACAACTCTAAAATGGACTTTAATGCCTCATGATGGGGATGGCCTAATCTATTATGCCACATGGTGTAAGCTGAAAACCCAAGGGCTGGAGGATCCACAAATGCCTTTGACACATTATTGATGAAAGCAGAAGATTGTGCAGTAGCACTGGAAACTGGTTGCAGAGACCCAAAGGTATACAAACCATCCTTATTAAGAGACCCTTGAAACACTATTTTGGAATCACCCTGTGTTTTGACAAAGCACTTATCAGGATGGAACTCAAAGAAAACATGGTTATCCTTAGCAAATTGACTCACAGTTATTAAGTTCTTTGTGATGTGTGGTACAAGTAGAAGATTCTTAAGTGTGAGAGAGGTGTGTGCTGTACATGGTGAAGAAAAATAAGCAGCGCCAATAGAAGTTATAGGCAAACCTTGGCCATTACCAAGTAGAACTTGGTCAGTGCCAGGCAATGCTACACTTTCAGACAAATACTTTGCATTGTTAGTCACATGATGCGTGGCACCTGAGTCAGGGTACCAGGGTTGAGCCTGCTGAGTGAAGTCAATTGGTGCCATAAATTTTGTGCCAGTGAAGTGAGCCTGTGGCTGATACACAGGTCTTTGAGCAAAGCCAGGAGGAGGACCCCTTAGAGCAGGAGAAAGCCATTGATTCTGCACAGGAGCATGAGTATTTGGAGTAGGAATCCACTGATGCTATAGTCTGAGCTATTGCAGGATTAGTCCATTGATTCTAGTCAGGTCTCTGATGTTGTGGAGTAGCATTCCACACAGTAGGCATTAAAGCAGAGTGCCTATGATAGCAAATACTTGCATCTTGACCTGGTTTTGAACATATTTGGCAGTGGACTCTGTTTCTGCCACCATATCTGCCACCTCTGCCTCGATTGTGCCTGCCACCACGAAATCCCCCACAACCTTCACCATATGAGGGATTCTCAGAGTAGTTTGAGGCATCAGGTGTGACTTGAGAAGCAACAACTGGTGTAGCTTGAGCAACATTCACAGAGAGAGGCTCAGACAGAGTAGCCTTCTTTGCTTTCTCCAGTTTTGCTTCATGAGCAAGAAGCATTGACTCAGCTTCAATAATAGGGCACAATATAGCACGATACTGAATAATGGAGGCTAGGGCATTATATTCCTCCAGCAAACCATCAAGGATTGCTTCAAGTTGGTCACGATGTGAAATTGGATCATCAATTGACTCGAGGATATCAACAATTCGTTGAATACGAGCTAAATACGCAGTAATTGATTTTTCCTGTTTGGTGATGGATTTCAATTCCGAGCGTAACTGTCTTGATTTCGCATTTGTATGCACAAAGATGTATTGATGAATTTCATCCCAGATTTGGTGAGAATGAACTCACCTGATGACGCGAGGAAGAACATCATCAGATAGTGTGGTGAGAAGCCACATGAACAGTAGCAAATCCTGCTGTTCCTAACCAGAAATGCCGGATTCTCCTTATCGGCAGCACGATCTTCATCGGAGAGGTAACACGGTGGAATGATCGGATTCACAAGGAAGCAATGAAGGCGATGAGTGCAAATGATGCCTTCGATTTGTTGTTTCCAAGAACGGAAGTTGTTTTCGTCAAGCTTCAGTGTTACATGTTGCGCGTTTTGAATACGTTCTTCAGATTGAAGATGGAGGATACGTCGTCGCGCGCCACCGTACTTTGGACGGTGTTGTCAGAGCTATCACTATCGGAAGCCATGGGAATGGATCAAAAAGCTCTCGATACCATAATAGAAAACGATAAACTGAAGAAGAAAGGAAGAGAGAGAAAGTTTGTTGTAACTGAATTCGTAATTTCACAATTGTTGGTTACATCTCTACTAGAGCGGAGTATTTATATAACTCCTGATGCAGTCTTTATATAACTCCTGATGCAGTCTAAACTTATCGGTTTAGCTGCCTTTCTAATATTCTAAACTAGTGTTACTCTATTAAAACTTTCTATTGTGGTAAAAGTTTTGTTGTAATACTTACATGATGCTTTTATGTTTTTAGATATCAATGGTGACATTTTAGTTTCATTATTATTTATTATTTTGTTTGATAGGCTCAACCTTACTTCACAAAGTTTCTGGCAGCTGCTCTAGAAGTGCTGACATGTTGCCGCTGTTCGGCTGAAGTAGGTTGCCCTAATTGTATTCAGGTCTGGATCAAACATTTTCTGAGGAATTATTTTTAATATCTTTTTTAGTGTAGACTTGCATGCTGTATTAGTAGAATGTTGAGTCATTTTATTTATTTATAAACTGTATCCATCTTTGGCATTCGGTTTTTATTAAGTTGTTATATTTTGTAGAGCTTTGCTTGTCACGAGTATAACGAGGTTTTGCACAAGGATGCGGCCATTATGATCATCAAGGTGGTGATTCGATTCAATTCAATTCAACTTCAGGATTTTCAGTGTATAATTGCATTTCACTTTTCATTTTGGTAACCAGATAAGTTTTATTACAGGGTATTCTGGATGCAGAGAACTAGTAATCTATGTGCAGGCTATTCTGAAGTCTATGTAGGGAATTTCTTTCTTTTCAAAGTGTGTGAATGAGGTATCCGGTTTTTCTTATAAATTAATTCAAAGATGGATGTGACTATTTACTTGATTATTTAACTCAGACAAATCCATTTTAGAAGACATCTGTATTTAAGGTACTCGTTTTTAGTGAATCAGTTCTGTAAATAATAAAAGAAACATTTTAGTGTACTTCAGTTTGTCTCTAAATAATCTACATTAAGCACAAACATATTTATATAGCAATCTCTCCGGTCTTTTATATAAGAAAAAATTTACTTTTTAGATACATTAAATGATTAATGTATTTGGTCTATATATTGTCTAAATATATTTATTATTTGATGTATTTTAAAAGTGAATTTTTTTTTAATAACAAGGACCAGAGGGAGGAGTAGTTCTTTATTTGATATAATTAATATAGTAATTCTTTGGTATTGTATATTTGGAAGATGGTTCAGACTCCTACATTCCGTGTATGTATTATGTGCTATAGCATTTCCAAAATTTGCCCATTCTAGCGATACTATAGCAGAATGACTTTGACACTAATTATTTTATAAATTATTCCACTGCTTCTAAAAATGATACTTACATTAGAAATACTCTTTGCTCAAATTGAAAAGGATTACTCAAACATAAATGACATTCAAATGAATAACCGACGTACACAAATTAACTTAAGTAATAATATTTGCTGGGAGATGCAATGCTTGATGGCCACCGCCAGAGATTTCGTGGTGCAGTTTTGGCGGTTTTGAAATAAAATATCACCTGAATTGTAAAAAAAATAATATGTGAATTGTAAAAAAAATAATATGTAGTTTGATTCGATTGATTTTTAGAAATAAATTTAAATTAAACTAAACTAATGCGGTTTGAATTGGTTCGATTTTTTATTAAAAAAAAATATTAAGTCATACATATAAATAGAGAAAAATATAATTGTGTTTAATTGTTCGTACATTATCATAAAACAATTTATAATTGTTAAAATAAATTTATAATTTGATACATAAAATTGCGTATTATGATTTTATTTAAATCTAAAAAATAGTATAGAAAAAATTGTATTCTTAAATAAATATTATATAAAGAATATGATAAAATATATTTTGTGAAAATAGTATTTATAAATGAATAATATTTTATTTTTTTATGATTTATAAATTAAAATAAATATAATACTCGATAAGATATACACCTAATACATGTTGATTTCTCTAAAAAATTAAAAAAATATATATTAGTTAGTAAGATTTTATAACGTAATACGGTTTTGTTTGGTTTGATTCGATTTATAAAATACAAATTGTAAATCAAACCGAATTACACGGTTCCGTAAGAAAATGATCCAAACACATCAGAATTAAATACAATTTTTTACGATTTCAAATGGATTCGATTCAATTTTATGATTTTTTTATTGGGCCGAACACCCCTAACCACCGCCCTCACCACACAATCTCATTGCTAATATAGTGTAGGTGAATGGCTTTCCAAAACACAGCTTCACTCTCCACTGGGAAACTATGATTACTCCGTCCAAAACAAATCATGGCGGTCGATATATCTTCGTTTTCTTTATTCCTCTGTCTTGCTTCCGCTTTAGTTGCAAATTTTATTTGAAACTGTTGTTGTTAAAGATTTGAAAAGATAAATTGGGAAAATATTTTTGCTGGAAAAATTGCAAAGTTTTTGGGAAAATTGTTGTCATTAATTGCAACGGATTTTGGGGGAAATTGATTTCAAGATTGTTTTTGAGAAAATTGCATAGCGTTTTTCATAGAGGATCTGAGAATTTTTTTGGCCACTTTGCAAAAATTTGAAAACCACTTTGTTAAAAGAAGTAAGAGAAAATTGCAGATCCACATTAATGAAGTAAAGAGAATAAAATGGAGCAAGAACAGACACAACGTTGCAGCCCTTTTCAATTTAGGGAATTTTTTTTTTCACCCTAAAGTGTGACTCACACCATTGAAAATTCAAAATTACCTACAAATGCGTTATGAGATGCATATTGTACTTTAAATTACTACATCCTTTGCAAATCAAACAACCATCACATTTTTGGCAAAAATTGGTTGGGAGATGCATCTCTGTAATTTTCACGGGTGTATTCGGAGATGCATTTCTCAAAACACTTATGAATCTATTTACTACACGCTTTTCATTGAGTTGATTTATTTAACTATTTAGTGATATTTTCGGAGATACATATCTGAAAATGTCAAGCGGAAAATTGAATATATCACCACCTTACATAATCACCTCTCCCACAGTTCATACCACCTCCGTAACCCAAAATTTTTTAGAAAATTTCATTCTCGATCAATTTTTTTGACTCTAAATCATTATTATTGTGTTTTATCACATCAAAGAGAGCAAAAAAAATTGCAATTTAAGATAAAGTTCACTCATTTTATCCCCCATTGCTTGCATTAGTCTTGTTCTTAAGCTGGAAAAATATACGTTATGTCCGGATGTGCATCTTCAAATTTACCTTTTCATGTTTCGGATATGCATCTCCGAATTTGCCTGTTACTGTGAGTTTTTGAACCATTTTTCTGTTTTGGTTCGTATTATATATGGTGCGCTCGAGTATGTTTTTCAAAGTTGCTGTGAGTAGTGATCTAAAATCAGATGAAATAAAAGATGATGTTAAACCAAATAAATGTTAATCTGGGTGTTATACTGATTGTTGTCGAGATAGATGTTGGTCAACAATTTAGAAATGAACAACTGTTTACTGCTCGTGAACATATGCTTTAATGGATTCACATGGAGGCCAGGACATTGGGGTTTGTCATTGTAATTAGAAGGTATGACAATGGTTCTAATAGAATTCAAACATTTGTAACCATGAGATGCGAGAGAAGTAGCGCGTACGTTCAACCGATTCGAAAGTTGAAACATGACGACACCAGATCGAGAAATGTGAGTGTCTATTTACATTGCGCAAATATTGTAAGGTGAATGATACATGAAAATTTAATGTGGTTTATGATATACATAATCATGCCTTGCAAACCGAGCTAGCTGGTCATCTCATCATATATCGCCTGAAATCGGAGGAGAAGGAAGTTGTTTCAGACATGTCTTTAATCAGAATGACGTCAAAAATATAGTTGCAGATTTGAAACGGAAAAAACCTGAAAATGTTTCAAATATTAAACAGGTATACAATGCGCGTTATCAAAACAATATATAGATAAATGGTCAAAGATCTTAAATGCGACAACTTTTGAAATTTTTGAATGATAACCACTATGTTTCTAGGTATAAAGTTTGTGAGGATAAAGTCACTATTACATATTTGGACTCATCTCGAAAGTATTAAGTTGTTCAACACATTTTTCACTATCCTCATAATTGATTCAATATATAAGACCAACAAGTATAGAGGCTTCCGCTTCTGGAAATTGGTGGGGTTACTTCTATGGAGAAGACTTTTTTAGTGAGATTTACATTTTGATGTAATTCACGATACTCTTATTCCTTGTGTTAGCGGTCCCGTACCAAAGTCAAAATTGACGTGCTTCCTTAAAATTGACCATCTTATAGCAAGTGTATATAACATCGTGTATTTTGATCTAACAATATATGATTTTTCAGAGATATTTTTTTCACTTCGGAGTGGCCCACTTCAAGATCCATCCGGATACATCATGTGTATTGAGTGGCTTTCAAAATCACAATATTTTGTTGAGGTATATTTGAAACCAAGGTGTCCTATATCAAGTACATCATTAGAGTGGATGACACATTCCATAAAAGAGGCAAAAATTTGTCCTGATCACTTTTTGGAAATGATGGAAGAGTTCACCAAATTGAGTGAGCTTGAAAGAGAATAAAAAAAGAAAAGTCAAAGGAGGAACCACTAGTAGATTTAGACGGTGAAGCATCTTTTGATGGGTTTTAGATTGTAATCGGTACACTTTTTTTAAATGTATTATCGTCAACAATGTAATCTCAATACGATTTAATTCATAAGTAACATATATTCAACAATGATGGTGTAAATGTCGACTGTTTATGTTTACAAATTTTACGGTTTACATCTTCTGTTTATGTTTACACAATTTATGCTCTGTTTCTGGTTCAGGTGTGATTCCATATATGCCTCATATTCAAACGTGTAATATATCTACTAGAGGCTCTGAGCCTCCTTGTCCTTACAGATGTGTACTTTTTTGGATAATACAATATGATTAGAAATAAAAATATTAGAAATTGTTAGGGGTAGCACCTATATTAGATAAGATAGTGAAAAATAAACTTAGGTGATTTAAACATGAAGAGAGAATACATGTAGATTATGTGGTAAAAAGAGTAGATTAAATAAAGAGAAATCACACTACTTGAGAAAGAGGAAGACCTATAAATACTATAAAAAAAATTATTAAGAAAGATCTCGAAATTAACAATTAAAATAAAAATATAATTTTAGATAGAGAACAAGTTAATTCATATAACCGATCTTACCTAATGGAATAAAATTTATTTGTTATTGTAAAATAAGAAAGATTTAAGTTTATTGGAAATTAGTGGCAACATAACAATGAAAATAATGATTTAAAATGAATGGAAAGTTTTGAAGTGCAATTGAAAGATAATGTTAAATTGCAAGGAAATCAAAAGAAATGGAACTAGCAAACCAACAAACTTATTATTTAAATGTAAATTTTGGCAAAGAAATGCAACCATTGAGAATTAAATTTTAAGGAACTCAACTAGAATTGCAGGAGTCTTGATTAAAAAATAAAGGAAAAAAAGAAGTAAAATATAATAGTAGACAAGTGAAAATATTTATGAGCAATTTTAAAAAGACTTAATTTTAGGGTCAAGGAAGGAAGTATTCATACAATATTAACAAATTTATACCACGATTGGCACTAATGAATAGAAATGTGAGGAAACATTTGTTTATCTACACAATTTTAATTTAACCATCATTATTACATGTGTG